GTCTCGTAACTCGTCTCCTATCCCCACGAGTCTTGTTCGAAAACCCGTACTCGTCAATTCGGCCGCGAGATTCTTCCTCGCTTCGTCCCCGTTTAATTGACTCGTACGGGAGTACCCGTGGAAAAAAAAGCGGTTGTGTACGCGTTCAATCCCGACTCGAGTTGCGACACGATACTTACAAATGGCTCTTTCCACTTTCGGTATATATTTTACTCTCTACTTTTTCTTCCTTTCTTCTCTTCCACGGAAGAGACACGACATCGTCCGTGATATCGGGAGCAATAACGATAAGAAATTTTCGAGACTGTTCACTCGATTATATTCTGTTTATTAATAATTTTGTAAATTCCAAAAATCAATTTCAAATTCAAATTTTTCACGAAACTGTTTAATGATTAAAAATATATGAATGATATATGATCTGTATTCTCGAATATAATTGGAATAAAATTTGGAATAAAATTCGTTTCTTTTCTCTTTTCTTTTCTGTTCATTTACATTGCTACTTTTAAGCGGATTTACGTGTACACACTTACCTAGAGTATTGGTGAACTCCTCCATAGTTCCGGCTATTCCGAAGCGAGCGTTAGACAGAAAGACAGTATAGGTGCATTATCGAAAGCGGGACAAACACAGTTAGTGAGAGATACGTGCGCACACAATAATAAGCGACGGTCAATAATACTTTCCGATTAACCTCCTTGTCTAGCTCCATTCTCGCTTTCAACAACAAAGGAAAATATAGTAAATTCCCGACGTACGAATTATCTATCATTTACATTCACGTCTCTCCACGTATCTCCGTCTACAGTACCATTAAAAATAGCTAACCATATCAAAATTCCGCGAGTGCAACGCGCCAACAACAACGAGGAGACAAGGGGGTTAATATTTCACTCGTCGATTCTCCTCGATACCCCGCCTCGTTTCCCGTTCGGACATTGCCCCCCCGACCATTTTCAATACGACACCTCGCGCCCATCGTGCGTGCAGGTGCCTCCTCCTCTTCCTCCTCCTCCTCCTCCTCCTTCTTCTTCTTCTCGTTTTGTCGTCACGAGGCTACTTTCGAAAGGTGAATACGATTCAACGGAGATTCGAATCGCCTCCCGTGGAGACGTTGACGACATCGTGAGAGGGAAAGAGAGAGAAGCTCGTAAATCAAACGAGGAAACCTCTTCCCTTTCCCCCCTCTTGGCGTAATATCTTGGTAATATCGGTTGTTACCAGAACCTGAGAAAAACGTTCACGATCGAACGACGGGGAGAACGGGGCGATCTTTCTTCGCCACCGGATTAGAAATAGACGAGAGGAGAAGAGAAGCTGTGCAAGAAACGTCTCTGTCCTCGGCCGCGGAATAGAATGGAATGGCGTATCAACGTTAACGAGCCGTGATGCTTCCTCGTTTGAAAATATCGACCCCTGGGAGAGGGGTCGTGTATAATGAATTCACGGCGGACACTTACCCGGACAGGCGATGTTGCAGTCCATCTTCTGCGTAGATGGACCCATGCAGGTTTGGCCACCGTTCATGGGGGCCGGATTCGTGCACGTTCGTGTTCGCTTTTGACCCCCTTTCGCGCACCTCGAGTGGCATTCCGACCACGCGGACCATGCCGACCATCCTCCCTTCACTGGAACCAAATTATTTTTTTTTATTTTTAAAGAGGATAAGGGGATTTTTTCGTTGAATCGTTACTTTAATTTTGATACTTAATAAAGTTATTGTTTCAAGAATATTTTTTTATATGAATTTTAATATTTGGATACACCATCATATTCATATTCATATTTGCTTCTTTTATTCATTTCGATTTTCCAAAAAACTTTGACGAAATTTTAGATTTCGAAATGAATTTATTAAATGAAAATGAAATAGAGAATCTAAAAATTTAAACAAATTAACATTATTTAAACTAAACCAAATGATTTCTTTTACAATTGTTTAATATCTTTTTCGAAAAGGATAGTATTTATATTTGAATTGTTATTAATTTCTTTACGCTTTTTACTTTCGAAAATTTATACTGCTTTTTTAAGGATTCGTGCTCTTTTTTTCTTATTTAATAATTCAAATTTACTCTCGTCACTCCAAATTACTTGTTTCCATAATGATAATGGCTTATTTATATATTTTTTGGCGAAAAACGTTTCTTCTTTCGTATTTTAGTGATATATGCATCTAGTTACACAGTTCTTTAAACTTGCCTCTTTTAATCTTCATCTTACAATTGAAGATACATTTAATCGTAGCTATTCAACGATATTTCGTGATGTTGGATTACGTCGAGATATACACTTGTGTTACATTTTCATCCTCGAGCACGTAAATTATTAACACTATATGTTCTAAATATTTTTTATAATTTTTATGAACAGTACTTTTAAAAACATTATATTTTCCTAACATATATATAACGATAACTTTTATTATTTTTGCAATCAGAGACAATTAGATTTCGTAACTGAGTACAAACTTCTTGTTTTCTATTAGACATTAGTTTAATAATATTAAAGTTTCCAACACGAAGGCTTTACGAATACTGACGATCCAAATATATTTGGGAGATAATCTCAATGTTTATTTATACTGTTTTTCTGTTAACGCGAAACTCTCTACGTGTCTACTTAATTTTGTCTACGATCTAAAGTTCAAATATACAAACAAATACGTATAAGTAATTATAGGAACTGATTTTACGATTTTATTTGTACTACGTACATATAACGTTCGATGAAAAATATTCTATATCGAAAAATTCAAATTTATTTTATCGTATCTGGACAATGAATTTCTTAACATAATTAATTCTTAATGAACGTAACGTCCATTTAATTTTGTCCACGACTTGGTAACAGAAGATTGAACAAGAAACTCACCGTAAACTGTCAAGCTGACCGGTTCGCTGAGCCTCTTCGCCGCGATGTTCTCCGCGACGCAAGTGTAATTCGCCTGATGGCTGAGTTTCGCTTGGCCAACAAGAAGGTGTCCCTCGCTGGACACTAAAAGCGTGTCCGATTCTGTGTCGACGGGAACGTTATTTCTCAGCCAGTACACCCTCGGCGGTGGCACTCCCACAGGAGGAAGACACCTGAGTTCGGTGCTCTGGCCCGCCTCCACCGATACCGAGTACGGTGGGGACTCGAATTGCTTCTTCAGGTCTGAGAAAATGGGATTTATGGCTCTTAGAAACAGGATACTAACGGAATTCCTCGAGGCGAGAGAAATAGTTAATTCGAGAATTTCTCATAGGTTATAAAAATAGAAAGATATCGAATTGAAAGTAATAGCAATTAAAAATAATTAAAAAAGATTTTTGTGAAATTTTTGAAGAAATCTATAAATATGTATAAGTATTTTAATATAATGATCTATTAAATTTGCAATTACAAGAAAAATTACAAGTGATGTACAAAAAAGAAAATATATGTATATAAAATATTCAAACATCATGTATTATAGCATCTAAGGGATAAAACAAATTTCAATTTAAGTTCTGTAATAATATTTACAAAAATTTTAATTTGTATAAATTATCCACGATTTATTACTCGAGTTAATCGAGAATTGATATTATATTGATTTATCCACGTAGTTATTTTCGCGTAGTTATTCCAAAGAGAGTTACGTAAGCGCAAGCACCGGACAAACGGTCCTTTCCTAAATTGATTCTCTTAGAAACTCCGTGGGTGCCTCGGTCATTGTATTGCCTCGCATTAAGGGTCGGAATTAAATAATGACCTTAGGAGAATCAAGATAATTACGAGGGGCCAGAAGTAAGACGAAAGTCGTGGCTGTACGGACAAGAGGGGCAAACAACTGTCCACCGCCGAATATTTATCGACGAAATTCTTGGAAGAATTGAGATGTCTCACGTTGCTTAAACATTGTGTTGAGCACAAAGTAATTAGAGCGTGCTCGAATAATTTTTGACGTCACATCGTATACGAGAAATTCTTTCATATAATATATTCGTCAGAAAGCTTTTTATTTATTTTCCTTTCCGTGAAAAAATTCCAAATTAATTCTGATTATCCATTATGCTACAGAGAAACAATTTCTAAGAACGAATGCATTATTATTATACTTACAAGCGACATCAACGGTCGCAGGTTGGCTCTTAATCTGTCCCGAACCAGACCAGGCGATACATTCGCATTTGAACTTGTCTCTGCCGAAATATTCTTCGATATGATCTCTCGTTACGTTCAACTCGCAATCGACTATCCTGGTACCCGTGTGCGGGTCCACGAAGTCCTGTTGCTGAGAATCCTCAGCCCTCGCGTCGTTGCACCGGAAATAGATCTGCAACGCGTGCGCGGCCTTGCAATGTAACGTGGCTGGTTTGTTCTTCACCACGAAGGAATCGACCGGCTCCGTGAGGAACACGGGTAGATGACCGCCTGCTTCAGAGATCAGCTCTGTGTCAGTGGCTATCGTCGCCGAAGGCACATCGTCCTCTTCTAAGAGATAGGAATCCTCGTCTTCTGCGGCATCCTCTCCTTCTGAAAAATATATATATATATTATCGAGTAATTTTTTTATATTAATTATTTAAATTCGATTCGAAAAGTGGTAGAGAAGGATAACGATATTCGTTGGAAATAAATATAAAATATCGTAGAATGATAGACAGAGTAAAAAGAGAAGATGTAATACGATACGCAAATACGAAATGGATACCCTGTTTTATGTCCTGTTGTTCAGGATATACGTCAAATGTGGTATTTGCGAACTATTATTAAAATTTTAACATTTTATAAAAGAAATATTCTCTTACAATTTTTTAACAAATTGCCATTGCTTATTTGAATTGAATTAAAAATTGAATTCCCCTCGCTACTTTACGTTATTAAAGGTATTTAAAATATAATCGATTATTACATAATAAATGAAATTAATATCAATCCACTTGTGTGTATACCATTGATATAGAAACCCATTATATACGAATTACCTGTACATCCAAACTCTTCGACAAAATATCTGTATCATACGCGTATTTGTTACGAACCCACAATAAAATCTTTACCGATATTTCCCGATATCGAGTTAAAAGTCGGACGGGTAATCCCGAAATCCGAATCGAAACAAACGGCGCCGCTTATTATCGGCTCGTGATAAATTCATAGAATTGGATTAACGTCATTAACGCGTGGCAAGAGGAGAGGCGGCAATCAAGGCAGGATCAGGCTGGAACGCGCAGTCAGTCATTTGAATTCTAAATACACATACTACATCCCTTCCCACGCACACCTCCCCTCCTCGTCCCCCGGCATAATCGTAATTTACGATCGAGTTATTAATTTCGCGCTGGGCTTTATTCAGAGGCCCCGGGGCTCGTTCCATCGGAATCGTGAAAATTCTATATTTGCTTGTCAACAATGGACAGAGTACGCACCCCCTCCCCCCATCCTCTTGTAAATCCTGGCGCCGGCCCATTAATGCCTGCCCGGTCTCGCCCGCTTGGAACGGGTCCGCTCGCTCGCCTACAATCGGCCCCGCTTTTGCCCGCTTTTCGCTGCAGTAATGAATTTTCGGATTTACGCGGAGCACCGGTGCACGCGAGTTCGATGCATTTTCCGCCAACCGCCGGTTAAACCTTTATCCCCGTGCGACATTTGGCCGGGGGCCACAATTTTCATCGAGATAATCGTTCGGGATTCCATATAGCAGGTCTTCTCGCGCCTGCTTTCGAGGGGAAAAAAGGAAAAAAAAAAAAATAATAATGAAACGAACCGCTCGTATATGGCGCGTATAGGTTGGAGGGGGAGGGGGGTGGATAGGAAGGTATATGTTTCTCATTAAGAGGTGTGCGCGCTCTTGGATTTCTCGTAATAATGATGGTTCGATGTAGCGCTGTAAAAGGCACGTTGGTGGGAAATAATTGGGAAGGGATTGATTAGATTTGAAGTTGTTAAGTTTACTTAGAATATTATTTGTAACGATACCTGTTTGAGGGCAGGGAATTGGAAAGGAGAACGTAAAAGAGGTAAAAGAGAATGGTAGTTTGAAGTCGAGTTTCATATACATTTGATATATTTATATATCCAAAAATATGTACTTTCTAATATGTACTTTCTAATATAAGAAATAAATAAATTGAATTAAATTTTTGTCAAATTATAGTATGTATTTAAATCTATTTCTTTAATCACAATTATATAAATTTTATTTTGCATTAATACATCCACAATCTAGATTGTAAATTCTATTAATGAAATTTGTAAATAATCTTTCATACTGCTATTCCTTTAAATATAAGAAAATCTACAATATACGAAGTAATTATTTCTGAAATATAATGATCTTCTGTCATCAGGCAGGAATACAAGGAGAACAATTAGGATGATAAAAATTATTACAGTTTCATGTTCTCCATTCATATCCCTTATCTTATCATCTTATTAACCGTCTATAATCAATCTTCCTTTCGTTGAAAATTAAACGAATAGCTGTCACTTTGATTACATCAAGTGTATAATTATTATCAATTATTTTCGTTACGTTATTCAAGTAAAAATTGAAAAAAAAAAAATTATTATCGAATAACATCGAACGCGGCTTACGTAATGGAAATCGTGATCGACGTCGCGTTGGAGCAGCAGCTTTTTATCGTTATCGACGTTCGTTATTTTTCACGCGGTTCACGAGAAGCATTCGAATGAATTGCGGAGAGGAAAAAAAGAAAAAAAAAAAAAAAAAAAAGCGAGAAAACAAAAGTCCATCTCTCGCGCCGAAAAAATTGTCAGAATTTATACCCGATGGCGAACAGATACCTCCAATATCCGGACCGTGGAGATAGAAATCGAGCAACGGGCAAATGAGAAGCGTCGGCGGACGAATGAACGAACGAGCTGAATAAAAAAAAAGACATTCGTGCATACATATATATATATATATGTATATATATATAAATGATAGAATGAGAAAAGGTGAAGGGATAGGAGAGA